ATGTTGCATGCTTTAAATACACACAATTTTATTTGCCAGTTGTACCTCAATAAACCTGAAAGAAATGCCACAGGGACCCTATACGACTGAGAAATGATGACTCACCTTGCTAGGCCGCTGCGCTGTGAGCTGCCCCTTTGCCACAGTGAGTGCTATGATCTGAATGCTAGTGTCCTCAGCACTCACAGGTGAAAACCTAACCACCGGTGCAGTCGTGTTGAGAGGCGGGGCGCTCGGTGGCTCCTTTGTGAATGGACCAGTGCCCTTGTAAAAGAGGCTCCAGCGAGCCTGCTCCTCCCTACACCAGGTGAGGACACAGAAGGCATCATCTGTGAAAACTGAGCCTTTCCTGGACCCCAAATCTGCTGGCACCTCGATCTTGGACTTCCCAGCCTCCAGAACTGTGAGCACTACATTTCCATTGCTTGTAAGTTACTCAGTGTCAGGTATTTTGTGATAGCAGCCAGAACAAAGGAAGACAGTGAGTGTTTCCTGAACAAGCCGCCCCCCTGAGTGCCCATCCTCGGAGCATGCTCATTTAATTATGTACTAAATCCACACGATGGAAAGCCTGGCAGTCACTGAAATCAGGGCACTCCTTAGGTGTCAATCTATATTAATCCCCAGAACACGCTGAGGAGTGAAAAAGCAACAGGCAGCCGTTTAAGTCGAGGAAACGGGGCGAAAAGAACATGCGCTGGCTCGTGTAGGACACAATACCTCTGGAAGAATGCACGAGCAGTCGTGGCCGAGGTGCCTGGAAGGGGCACGAGCTGCTGGGGACAGAGGTGAGGGCAACTTTCATGTGTCGTTTTACTTTTCTGGAGTTGGTTTTACCATGTCTAGGTACTATCTATTCCAAATAAAATAAATGGCCGGGCGTGGTGGTTAACGCCTGTAATCCCAGCACTTTGGAAGGCCGAGGAGGGTAGATCATGAGATCAAGAGTTCGAGGCCAGCCTGGCCAACATGGTGAAACCCTGTCTCTACTAAAAATACAAAAATTAGCCACACATGGTGGCTCGCACCTGTAATCCCAGCTACTCAGGAGACTGAGGCAGGAGAATCGTTTGAACCCAGGAGGTGAGGGTTGCAGTGAGCTGAGATCGTACCACTGCACTCCAGCCTGGTGACAGTCTGAGACTCTGTCTCAAAAAAAAAAAATTACAATTCTTAAACAAAAAAGTTTAAATATAAACACTTAAAATATACTAACATAAACATATTTCATATCTAACTATATTAATATAAACATGTTTAATATATACAGGCATATATTTTATAATATGTAGAAATTTAGAGCAGGCATGGTGGCTCACGGCTGTAATCCCTGCACTTTGGGAGGCTGAGGTGGGTGGATCACCTGAGGTCAGGAGTTCTAGACCAGCCTGGCCAACATGGTTTAACCCCATCTCTACTAAAAATACAAAAATTAGCCAGGCGTGATGACGGGCACCTGTAGTCCAGCTACTCAGGAGGCTGAGGCAGGAGAATCACTTGAACCTGGGAGGCAGAGGTTGCAGTGAGTCAATATTGTACTATCATACTCCAGCCTGGGCCACAGAGCAAGACTCCATCTCGAAAAAAAAAAAAAAAGACAATATAATTTAAAGAAAATATATGAAAATGCATTTGACCCCTGAACAACACAGACATTAAGGATGCTGACCACCCCCCAGAGAGTCAAACTTAGTGTGTAACTTTTGACTGCCCCAAAACTTAACTACAAATACCCTACTGTTGACCAGGAGGCTTACTGATAACACACACGGTCAATTTGCACACGTTTTCTATGTTCAATGTATTACATACTGTATCCCTACAATAAAGGTTTTCATCCTCACGTCATCACACTGAGTAGACTGGGAGGGTTGGTCTTTGCTGTCTCAGGGGTGGCAGGCATGGAAAAAATCTTCATATAAATGCACTCATGTTGTTCAACGGTCACCTGTGTATTTTAAACAAAGTGTTTTCAGCAATAAGAATATGTGCCATTTAAGGCCGGGCGCAGTGGCTCACACTTATAATCCCAACATTTTGGGAGGATCACTTGAGCCTAGGAGTTTGAGAACAGCCTGGGTAACACAGCGAGATCCCCATTGCTATAAAAGATTTAAAAATTGGCTGAGCGTGGTGGTGCACACCTGTATTCCCAGCTACTCAGGAGGTTGAAGTGGGAGGATCACTTGAACCTGGCAGGTGCAGGCTGCAATGAGCTGTGATTGCGCCGCTGCTCTGTTGCCTGGGCGACAGAGCAAAACCCTGTCTTAAAATAGAAAAGAAAAGTACCAGCTGGGCGTGGTGGCTCACGCCTGTAATCCAAGCACTTTGGAGGCCAAGGCAGGTGGATCACCTGAGGTCAGGAGTTCAAGACCAGCCTGACCAACATGGTGAAACCCCCGTCTTTAAAAATAATAATAAAAATAAAATTTAAAAAAAAAAAAGAAAAGTGCTATTTGAATGGAGTGTATAATGAATTGTTTAGCAGAACAAGTAACACGTTTGTAAACTACAGTCAAGGATCTGGTGACACAGAGCACTTTCCCATGCCTGCCACTCCAGGCCCTGTCTCACAGTGCCCCATCCAAGCACTCCCAGCTCTGGGCCTAACCCCAATCCCTCAGGATGCCCCCAGAAGTCCCCTCCCCACCGCCACCAGCCCACAGAGGCCCCCACCAAAAGCTGTGCACAGGTGGCCCACCCCTCACCCAGCACATGGTGTTGAGCCAGCTGTTTTCGGCTGTTTGCTCAACTCAAACCATTAAGGGCTCAGTGAGCTCACCCACCAGGCTTTTTGCTGCAGAAAAAAACAACCTGAGATTCTAGGCCTAAAGAGCAGCAAGGGCTGAGTGAGATGAGCGCTTCCTGTGCACCAGGCGCTGTTGCAGGCTCCTTACCTGCATTAACTCATGCAGTCCCAAGAACCCCATGTCCCTGATGAGGAAACAGGCACAGAAAGGTCACCTGATGTGCTCTTGAGCACATCACAGTTAGTGAGAGGCAGAGCCCTGTCTGAACCCTGGCGCAGCCCAGGGTCTCACTCTGAAGGAAGGTGGCCAGCCCCTGGTCAGCATCAAAGAACTCTTTAAATCTCAGCTCCACCTGGAACTAGCTGTGCAGCCTGCAGCAAGTTCCTCAGCCTCTCTGGTCTCTGGTTCCTTCATCCATGAAGCGGGGAAGATAATAGGCACCTGGCAGGACTGTTGTAGGAACTAAATCAAACAGCATCACGTGCAAATGCAGTTCCGCATGGCATCATCGCAGCTTATTTAACCAGTGCAGCAGGCATTTAGTGTAATTGCCTACGGCTTCCAAGTGGCAGCTGTTATCTGTGCCTAAGGGGACTCCCCAGAGGGGCCCACGTGCTCAGAGCCTTTGGAGACCATCAGGCATGGCCATCGGCCTCCCTAGGACACGGCAGTGACGGCGTCAGAGTCCTGGGTCCCCGGTCCTGAGTAGAGGGAAAGGGCGTGGGGGATCCTGAGATGTCACCGCAGGGTGGAAGGAGCCAGTTGCAGCACCTCCAGCCACCAGGCAGCTTCCACACCTGTCCTCTTTCTTAATTCTCCTGAGGCCCCTGTGAGTCTCACTCCACGTCACAGATGAAGAACTGAGCTGCCCGTGGTCACAAAGCTGATGTGAAGAACTCTGTCCTGGCAGGGGCTCCTGAGGCAGCTATGCCTGCAGCAGATCCACTCCTGCGTCCCCTGGCCGTTGCCCTTCCTGCTCACTCTGCATTCCTGCAGGGCAGCGACAGTGTCAGAGTCCTGGGTCCCTGCGGCGGATCCACTCCCATGTCACCTGGCCGTTGCCCTTCCTGCTCACTCTGCATTCCTGCAGGGCAGCGACAGTGTCAGAGACCTGGGCCCCTGCGAGCGGCGGATCCACTCCCGTGTCCCCTGGCCGTTGCCCTCCCTGCTCACTCTGCGTTCCTACAGGGTTCCCAGGGCACTGCAGTCCTGACCCCCCCGCTGGCCAGGACTCCCCTCCTTGGGCCTGGTTACCAGACACTAGGGAGAAGATGCAGGTCACATGCACAGGGACACTCTGACAGGGCCTGTGGGGAGCCTCCCTGGACTCAGGGGTCCACACAGGCCTGCACCAGTGTCCTCTGCCCTAAGCTCAGCCACAGGGATGGCCAGCAGCGCCTGGCCTGTGCCAAGCTCATCTTCTCCTCCCCAGCTCACTTCCTGGTCCCATGCCTGGAACTCCCTCTCTGCTGGGGGGAGCACCATCCCCATGGGAATCACCAATTTGGACTCATCCAGGACACACTCCAGGGCCAGGGTCAGACCATGTGTCAGGGTCCAGCAGTCCACCATCCCCCGGGGCCCTGACCTGTCTAAACTGGCCCTGGGCCTAAAGCTGGGTGCTTGGACCCTCACACATATTTGAGATGCCCACAGGATGAACTGGAGGGTCGGGGAGAGGAGCAGGGCCCATTGGTTCCCACACTCTGTGCCCAGAAAGGAGACTCACTGCACTGGGACCCAGGGTGGCAGGGTCGGACAGAGTGAGAGACCCAGCTGGACTCTCAGGGTGACATACACACACCCCAAGGAGGGGGCTCCCCTTTGCACACTTGCCCTGATGTGTGCAGTGGGCCGGGGTTCCTGGCACCAGACAGACTCTGCAGCTCTCAGAATGCTACTGGGGTGGAGAGGACCCCAGGCTGCTCCGGAGAGAAGGTGGAAGCCTGGGCTGCACTCCAGAGAGCTGATGGTGGCCTGGTGGGTTCCCCACTGACAGGCAGGGGTCCCTGGGGCCTGCAACATCATCTTACCATGCATGAGGTCTTCGCCCCCCACTCCAAGGCTCTGGGGCTCACAGCTCCCCTCCCTCAGGGGTTGCTGCAGCACCGAGACACAGCCAGGCTCTCCACCATGGCTGGCTAGGCTCGGGGCCCAGACTCCCCGGGGCAGGGACTCTGTCTTGGATGGCAGCCCTCATGACCTGCAGCCCCACAAGTGCCAGGAGCAACAGTGTGAGACAGAGGGAGAATAGGGGCTGCCACATCCAGGGGAGGTCAGAAGGCACTCATAGGGGACGGAAGCCTGGGGACACGGAGGTGGCGCTCAGCAGCCAAGATGGAGTGTACAACTCACAGGCATGCCAGGCACATAGCAACGACCCTCGGCGTGTCTCAGCCCAGCAGGCTCGCCTCCAGGGACCTCAGCAAAGAGGTGATGACATGTTCAGGTCTTTTTTTTTTTTTTAAGAGAAAAACACAGGTGTCGCTATGTTGCCCAGGCTGGAGTGCAGTGGCTATTCACAGGCACAATCCCACCACCGATCAGCACGGGAGTTTTGACCTGTTCCATTTCTGACCTGGGCCGGTTCACCCCTCCTTAGGCAACCTGGTGGTCCTCCGCTCCCGGGAAGTCACCATATAGATGCCCACATGTTCAGGTCTTGAAGCGACCAGAGCCCCCAGCAGCAGGAGACCAGTCAGTGCATGAAAGCAGGTCCCTAAGGTGGAATATCACGCAGCTTTAAAGTGTGTGGGGGCCAGTTTTTAACGACACTGACCAGGGCTCTCTGCAGTGCGCCTTCTCCTCGCCACATCTCTTTACCCCTGCGAGCCACATGGGGCAAGACCTGAGCAAGACGGAGGAAACCAGGGGGTCTGGGTTGAGCCCCAGTGAGTCATGCCCACCAGGGGTCCCTGGACACCTCTCTGGTGACATCTGCCTCCCTGGAGACCTGAGCCCAGAGCTGTGGCTCCTGCAAGTTCAGGGAGGCATTGCCCTCGTGAGGAGGAAGGCTTTCCAAGGCTCCAGCCACCCCTCAGTGTAGCCACTGAAGGCAAACATTGACCCACAATGTTCTGTGCAAGCTCCGGCTCAGCCCAGGATGTCCACAGGCCCTGACCACGAGACTTCGAATCCAGGCAGAGAGAGCAAGGCCTCAACCACTGAGCCCTTCAAAGGCTGGTGGGAAGTGCTCTGTTAATTCCAACCACATGGCAAATTAAGTCCTATTTAGCCTGTTTCCAAAATATTTTCCTCTCTTGATTTAAAGAAAGCTGGAGCCGTGCCATTGTTCAGACTGGGTGGAGCCCGGAGAAGGGAGAGCCAGCGCCCGTGCCCACGGAAGCGCAGCCTATGGTCACCGTTGGCTGCAGACACGCTGGTGCTGGTGCAGACAGACGGAGGAGTGAATGGGCAGGTGGAGGTGGGAGAGGGAAGCATGATGCGTGGATGACCAAGAGGGCGGGGAGAGCGCAAACTTGCTTTGTTGACAGCTTCAAATCCGACAGGATTGTCTTTTTGAACGTTTCAATTAAGACCGTGATGTTCTTTGGCCCAGGCAGCTTTGTTCTGCATTTCCTCCTCCCCCACCTTCTTGGAATGTCTGGGCTGGAGAGGGGAACACAAAGGGAGACCAAAGGAAAGCGTTGTCCTGTCCCCTGAGGCTGAGCTCAGGCAAGGCCCCCATGTAATGGGGGGACGCCTTCAACCACCCCGCAGCATCTGGGGTGGCCTGCTCCAAACCCCTCTCCAATCGGTGCCCAGTCCCACCCCTCCCCTGGAGCAAGTTCCAGTCCACATCCCGCTTGCCCCTCAGCAGCAGAGGACAAGTTGGACCCTTCCTCCTCCCAGAGGTGAGCCACTCTCTGGCATCTAAAGAGCAGCTCGCCTCCTGCAAGCCCAGGCCAGCCTCCGGGAAGGTGGGAAGCATGCCTTGCTGGCAGCCCCTTGCCCAAGATTGCAGCCCCTTCCAGAGCTGGTCTGCAGGCCCGTGGCTGCCTGACGAGGGGTCCAAAGGTCCAGCCCTTTGCATTCGCCAGGCGCAGCTCTGAGAGCCGGCCCCACCGAGTGCCGTAGGACCAGCCGAAGCCTCAGTTCAACTGCCCAGAGCCTCCCTCTGCCCAGCCCCACAGCCTGCCGCCCCGCAGGGATGCCTTCTAAAATCGCCCCACCCAACTCTCCAGTTCTGAATCTGTTTCCAGGAAAAGTCAGCTCTGGCAGCAGACCTGGGAGACAGATTCTAAAGGTAAATGTTGGCCAGGCGTGGCGGCTCATGCCTGTAATCCCAGCACTTTGGGAGGCTGAGGAGGGCGGATCTCGAGGTGAAGAGATCCAGACCATCCAGGCCAACGTGGTGAAACCCCATCTCTACTAAAAAACACAAAAAGTAGCCAGGTGTGGTGGCGCATGCCCGTGGTCCCAGTTACTCAGGAGGCTGAGGCAGCAGAATCACTTGAGCCCAGGAGGCAGAGGTTGCAGTGAGCCGAGATGGCACCATTGCACTCCAGCCTGGCAACAGAGGGAGACTCTGTCTCAAAAATAAGAATAAAATAAAGGCAGATGTTGGAGCTGCTCCCTGACCCGCCTGAGGGCGATGGAGACCAGAGAGGCCTTGGGTGCTGCTAAGGCATAAAAGATGAATCGTGCCTATGGTGAGCAGGGCCAGGAGACCTGCAGAGGAGGACGCAGGGGCCAGCGCAGCATCGCTAGCCCTGAGAGACGTGGGCACATAGGACCAGGGAACTGAACAGCCCTTGGATGAGGTCACTGATTTACTGAAAATGAAAACAGGCTTCGGGTGATCCATGGCCCACTCAAGACACAAGGTGAGATCTCAGGGGCCTCCCTGGCAGCCCTGAGGGAAGCCCTAATCTGAGCCAAGGACAGGGAGCAGAGAGTGAGCTCAGGACCTCACTGCACGAGCACCACGCTTCAGAAAAGATGGAATTCCGGACCTGGCAGGCTCCCCACAGCACGTTCCGGGCCCCAGTGTGCAAAGAACAGGACTCGAGGCCAGGGATGTGGAACCTTAGCGGTGCAACTCCCAGATCCCTGAACCCACTAAGAGGAGAGGGCAGGGCAGCCCACTCCCCTATGAGGAGACAGTGTCCCGTCTGACTGATGACCCTGCAGAGGCTCAAATGAGGCAGCTTCCAGGCAGTGCCAGAGGAGACAAGTCCCCTTCCCTCCTGCAACCAGCATCACCGTGGCACAGCCCAGTGGGAAGGTGCTGGTCTGTGAGAGGAAGAACAAGATCATCTCCCCATGTTCCTAGAGGGCTACAGGGCTAGGTGGCATGCCGTCGCAGGGGCTGGAAATACATGCCCATTTGGGGGTGCCACATCAAGGTCCAGAACCACAGGTAAGGAAGGAGGTGCCGGCACAGAGGGCTTTAGCCTCCTGCAAGGACCCAGGTTACAGAGCTCACACTATGGCTTCTGGTTCCTGGAGCTGGCAAGAAGCTGGGGCCTCTGAGAATTGGAAATGCCAGCATTGCCACAGCAGACAGCAGAGGCACAGCAGAGGTCTCAGAAGTGGGCCTGCTTGAGCAGCTGGGCTGCATAGGAAGGAAACCTACCAGGTTCCATGTTCCCAGGAAGGGCTGGGGATGCCCTGGGCATTCATGAAAAGGCCCCAGTGGTGAGCGGCGCGCTGCTGGAGGTCCTCAAAGGCCAGGCTGATGGCAGCAGACGCTGCTGCAGACCTCGGCTCTGCGCAGCGGGGGCAAGGACAGGAGCCCAACCTGGCGGAGGCCAAGTGGCAGTGCCCAGGCCAGAAACGGGCGTGAGTATATGATGAGGAACAAGAGCTGAGTGCCCAGCAAGTGCTGAGAGCCAAGCAGTCATTTGCCTGCCATCAGAATAAATCAAGGTTGGGGGACACAATGGTTTGAACATGTCCCTCCAAATTACAGGTATTGCCAGTACACTTGAACGTGTCAAGAGGTGGAGCCTTTAAGAGGTGACCAGGCTGGGGGGGGCTCCTCCCCCTCAAGTGGGGTTAGCTGTGCGTATGAAAAGGCTTGACTCCTCCACCTCCCGCTGCAGGGGACACAGCATACCTGGCCTCCGACGACTGGGCACCAGGCACCATCCTGGAAGCAGCGAGCAGCCCTCACCAGGTTCCCAACCTGCCAGCCCCTTGATCCTGGACTTCCAGCCTCTGGAACTGCCAGAGGAGACCTATCTGTTCTTCCTCAGTTACCTGTCCTCGGGTGTTTTATTGTGGCGGCACTAAGCGACTGAGACAGACGGCCAGGAGACTGAGGGCAAAGGCGCTCTAGAACACCCGTGGGTCCCCGGGAGAAAGGCCCTGCAACTTCCTGGCAAGGATGGCCAGTCACATTCCTGGGTCCTTCTCCAAAGGGGCAGCCGGAGAAACTGGAAGGCCCAGGCCCTTCCGGGACTGTTGAGGGTGATTCTGGGCACCTGAAGTGCCCCAGGCCCAGAGTAGCAGGGCTCTCCCTCTTCACGGAGGGTGAGTCAGGCGTCCCTGCCCTGGCCCGCTTGCCCAGGGTCCTCATCCATGTGAGATGAAGTCTGAAGACATCACCGGGCCTTCCCAGCACCCCAGCCCAGGGCGGGGCTGCACGAGTGATAAGTGAAGACACCCCGGACTGCCCTTGATGAAGGCTGGTTCTCTTCTACTTTCTGACTGCCACCTCCCCACTCTGCACCTTCACCCCTTCTCAAGAACCACAGCCTCCAGGGCCCACCTCTGTGTTTCTGAGGAAAGCATTAGGGTCGGGGCATGGATGGTCTCCCTGCTTGCATTGTAACAGACGCATAGCAGGCAATGCTCTAGTATAAGAAAAGATTTTCTAATGGTGGGGTTTCTGGCAAAAAGGCAGGGCCATGAGGCAGTTAGTGCTGTTGGACAAAGAATTGCTTCTGTATCTATCTCAAAGCATTAAAATGGGCATCAAATCAATATTTCTTTAAAACAAACAAACAAAAAACTTGGCCTACCCTCCCCCAATGCACGCTGAGCTTGTCTCTAGCGCCACTAGAGTTCTGGAGACATTTTACTCCATCTTGCCTGTTACCTGTTAATTTCTCCCTTCCCTCCCCTCCATCTTGCCTGTTACCTGTTAATTTCTCCCTTCCCTCCCTCAATTGTGAGCTCACTGAAGGCAGGGGTAGGACTGAAGTATCCTCTGAATCTTTGACCTCAGGCGCTTAGGGACTAGGGGACTGGACAGAGATGAGGCAGGCAGAGTCCAGCCCCCCCAGAGCCACCTCCCAGCCCTGAGTGTGTGCTTGGCAAGTCCCTGATGGGATCCCAGGAGAGGCTGAGACTTGTGTGTGTCTCCCCTGCCAGGCTGTGAGCGCCCCGGCAGGCTAGTCCAGGCCAGCCCGGCTGCTGCCTGACGCCAGCCCAGGTCCTGGCCCCCAGAGAGTGCCTGGTGAAGTCTGGCTGGCTGAGCTCTGACCCAAGGGAGTAAGGAATTACTTCCTTCCCGGAGGCTTCATTTTGAGAATAAATTTAGTAATTTTTAAACAAATCGTACTGACTCTCCCAGTTGTATTTGTTTAGTTAAATTAATTCTATTTTAATATTTCCATTAGCCATTTAATTTATTCTAAAACCTGGCACTGCAAAGTAATAAAACTTCTCAAATATTGACAGACAGAAAGTAAATGTCGCCCAGCTACAACCATCTGTTTTTCCTCCAAATTCCTCAAGATGGAGAGTGTACCGCCGTGCTTGATTTACGGCCTTCCTGGGCCGGTGCGTGCGGCTTACTGGCAGCCTCCTGCCGCCCCTGAGCCAGCGCTGCTGGGGGTGCCTTTCTGGACTCAACAGGGTGAGAGGGGAGGGAGGCGAGGGTTTGGGGGATGGTGAGAAAGTCTACACGGAAGATGTAGCGGTGAAATGGAGCCCCGGCTTTAAAATGCGTAAGCTGGCTGAAATGCAAAAGCTCGCTGCTTTCCTGCCACCTTCCCCAGCGCCAGCTGCCCTGCAACGTCCCTGGCGTGCCAGCCCAGAAGCGGCATACGCCACCTCCCCTACACCACCTGTGCCTCCACCCCCTCTCTCCCACCCTCCTACCCTGCTCCTTGGATGAGAGATAGGCACCCTCCTTCCTGGCAGTCTAGCCAGGGAAGGGTCACCCCCTTAGAATCGGGGTCTCCCAGGGCCGATGGCTCAGAACGTCTCTACTGCGCATGGCTCCTAAGGGTGTGCACTAGCACTGAGGGTGACGGAGCCTGGCTCCGTGGTCAGCTCCCCTTCAGCCAGGTGTGGTGTGGGCTGAGGGAAAGTCTCCAGGCTGGATAAGAGACACAGCTGGATGCAAACCTTGGTCCCATCTCTCCTGACCTGTGGGAGCGTGCCCCTCACCTCTCAGCAGAGCAGCAAGGGTACGGGATTCCCCACAGGGGTGCGGGTGGGTGCATGTGCCCCATGCCCAGCCCCATGCCCAGCCAGGCCTAGCCCATAACCAGGACCCAGCATCTCCTGGAAGAAAAGCTGTCACCTGGGCCTCTGCTCTCTGGACTTCCCCCAAGCAGAGCGCCAGAGAGGGAGGCCACACAGCCCCACCCCGGCACTCCCCACCCGTCAGCCCATTTCAACGTGACATGTGTTTACATAGCACGCATGCTTACAATTCCTCTCCGACCACCGGGCAAAGCCTAGGCAGCCACAAATATTTCACAGTGCTTGTCAGGGCCGGCAGCCCCAGCCTGCCCCACCTGCGCCTCCCTCACTGTCCTTGGTGCTCCCGCCACCTCTGCCCGCAGCCTGCCGCAGTGCTGCCCACTGTAGGGGAGGCCATGCACCACCGAGCACTCTGCGGGCCCTGCTGGAGTCTGTGCAGTGGATGGAGGGCCGACCACGCGTGTGTCCAAGTGTGTGTCAGCCCCACAGTTTGCTCCAGGGACACCGAGATGCCTCAGGGTGCTCAGGGCCCTGCGGGGGTGACGCACCAGCAAGTGAGGAGAAGTGCCAGCATGCCCCAGGTGCAGCAGTGGCATCTGCAAGAACACAGCAGGGCACAAAAGATGGGCACCCAGCCTGCTGGGAGGACCAGGAGAGGATTCTGAGAGAAGCGAAGCAGCAGGACGCGAGCCCTTCAGATTAGGAAGTCCTCCAGGGAGGGGGGCAGTGTGGGTGAAGGGTCAGGGGACAGAGCAGTCTCCCCACTTCAGTGAACCCCACAGCTTGCCTGGCTGCAGCAGAAGGTGTGAGAGGAGAGGGGGAATGGGAAAGGCCGAGACCTGCAGCTGGGAAGAGAGCACAGGTTTCACCCTGAGGGCAGCGGGGAGCCACGGCAGGCTTTAGCCTTCCGGAGGAACGGGCTCCAACTCAAATCTGAGACAGCCCTGCGAGAGCTGTGGGGCGCTGAAGGAACCCAGCCTGGGAGGAAATGCCGAAGACGGGAAAGAGCAGGCTCGGGAAGGCCCTGGGAAACTTTTTTCCAAAGGCCTGGCCATGGTTGGGGCAGGGTCTCAAGGAGGTGTGTTGGCCAGGCAGCACCACGTAGAACGTGTAGACTGGCAGGGCCGTGTGTTGGGGAGTGATGCCTCTGACACAGGAGGAGCCTCAGGATGCCTTGGCGGATGTTGCTGAAGGGAACTGCACTCAGGTAAGGCCTCTGACATCGCGTCCAATAAAGGAGCACAGAGCAACTGCTGCGCGGCCACTCTGGCCACACAGGGCTCCCCCTAGAACTCGGAAATGGGACCAGAATGTAAGAATTACACACTGTGCAAAGGACAATTCTGGCAGTGCAGCCAAAGGGGACAGCAGCAGGGGTGCGTGATTCCAGGAGCTTCCCTTCACTAGAACCCTGGAGCCTTCCCAGGCCCCTAGTCCCAGCAGCCTTACTAGAGACCTGCAGAGACCTGGGCTCCTCCAGCCCTGGCTTCCCCCAACCCCACACTCGAGGACAAAACCTGCTGGGTGTCAGGCAGGAGCAGGACCTCCAGCACGGCTGTGGTCCCACCACGGGTCCCGCCACAGGTCCCACCACGGGCCCCAACACAGGGTCCCAACACAGGGTCCCACCGCAGGTCCCACCCCGGGTCCCACCGCAGGGTCCCACCGTGGTCCTCATTTCTCTTTTAAGCCTCAAGGGAGCCATAGGTGTGAAAACACAGAAGAGACTGCACAGGTGAGGGAAGGAAGCAAGAGAAATGACAATTCCCATGAAAGAGCACAGGGCACGGGGGGCGGGCAGCTCCAGCCCAGGTGGCTGGGCAACACCACACTCTACCTACCATGGCCCACTCCCAGCCACGTGGACCTTAGTCCTGGAGCCCCAGCCTGTGGTGTCTAGGCCCCTGCAGCACGTGCAGCACGTAGACACGCACGTCCCTGCGGCACGCTGCACCCCATCTCCCCGGTGAAGCCCCCACGGCCTTCTCCCATTTCTTGACTGCATATTTGAGTCTTCGCTCATCCCAACAAGTTCTGCTGACATTCTGGGAATTAACGAAGCCGGGTGCAGCCTGCCAACCTCACAGCTCCAGAGGCGGAAAAAAGGAGTTGTGCATTCACAGCCAAAAGAGGAGTTCATAAATTTTCATAAAATTACTAGATGTGTGTAATTTATAGCCGAGGCCAGACACTCCAAGCCCCCAAGGAGCAGAGCAATGGCTGCAAGGAGGCGTCGTGGGAGAATGGCCACCGTGTGCTCTGCCATGCTCTGAAGGACAGCAGGGAGGGGGCAGGTGATGGGAAAGGGGCCCAGGAAGTAGTAACCAGAAAAATGGGGCAAGGGCAGCACTTGTTCTGTTCTTGTGCCCAGCTATCCTTGAGCATCAGACAGAGTGAGCACCTGAGCAGACGGCCAGCCTGGAACACCTCGGGGACCCTCCTCAGCTGCCAAGTGAGAAACACCGAAGTTGGCCTCCGCACACTGCAGCCCCTGGAGACAGCATGGCCCTCCCTGCTGCTGGCAGAAATCAAAAGTGCCTTGAGACAGGGACATCACCACGGCTGGGCAGCTGACCTGCTGCAGGGCAGCTACCAATGCTTAGGTGACAAACACCGCATTAGCCACCTGCATCTTCACACACATGGGGTGCTCGGTACTGACAAGCACACACAGGCCAAGATGCTCCCCCCACCCAGCCAAAAAAACAGAAAAGCTCTGCAGGTGTCTTAGGACCTATTACCTGACAATGCCCTGAGCCTTTGGTGTACCCATTTTCAGGTGACACAAGTCTGAGCAGCTGTGACCTTTCCAAGGTCACACAGGTAGTCAGTGGCAGAAGTGAGTTTCAGATTCAGATCTGACACCTCCAGCACCCACACTGTCCCCCAACTGTGTGTCCTTACACCTGTGACAATCAGAGACAGCCACGTTTATGTCATTGTCGTGCCTGTAACACATAAGAAACCATAGTTTATTGCTAAGTCTATTTTTAAAGATAATGAAGAACTGTACATGCCGACTCTATTTGAGAAGACAAAGCAGCAACAGAGAGCAGAGGACTCCCCTCCTCCTGTGGACTTACAGCCACAGGTGGCCGGAAGCCTGGGAGGAAGCCCGGCCAGGTGTGGGGAAACATTTCCCCATCGCTGGCCCCACCAGGCTGTGATTTATCTGCAGCCCCTGGACCCCTAGGCTTTTGGGGAGCTTTTCAGCACCCACATGCTAGGCCAGTCCTGCAGCTGTCCCTGGAGGGGCCACGGCCATCATGGGAAGGATGCCAGGCCAGGGAAGTGGGGACTCTGATGTGAGCCCCAAAGAGCTGCCCTCTGCTGAGAGGCTGTTATTTCCTGACAAACGCACCTCCAGAACAGCCTCGCTGTTAGGATGAAAAGCCATCTTGGAGAGGGGAGCAAAGGACGCCCCACAGAGGTGACTCCATTTCCACGGTCGAGTGAAGCAGGCAGCCCACCCCATCCATCACGAGAGCTGCCCTCCTGCCAGACCATCCCAAGAGCTCTGAGGACAGTTGAGGTCACAGAGAGTTTAGGAACATAAGAGGCAGGGTGGAAAGAGAAGAGAAGGACAGTGATCTTGACCACGGCAGCCGCAGGGTGATGTGACTGCATGGTCTGTCGCGAGCTGGGGTGGTGGGCAGCCTCTGACCACTGTATGCAGCTGAGCAGACAGCAAGGTTCGTCACCACCCTGCCCCACCACCTGCTCAGTGGGCCGTGACACTAGCAAGCCCACCACCACTGTGCGAGTCACAGTAGGTGGAGTTGGGCTCCAGTGGGCCACCTGGGAGGCCAGCCAGGCCACAGACTGGCACAGAAAAGGAAGATTAAATCCTGAGGGCACCAGAGGTGAGGGCTTGGGGTCACCAGACCCGGGTTCAAGCCTGACCACGGAACCTCAGGCAAGCAGCTCCAGTTCTCTGAGGTTCGTTTTCCTCGTCCATCCACAGGGACTGAGGATTCCTGTCCAGCAGTACAATGGGATGAAATGAGATCACGTGTTTGCCAATGAGACATTTAGATAACATTACAGCTGCTGGGGCCTGGAGGCTGCGCGGGTGGGGCACTGTGCCATCTCCAATGGGCCTGCAGCCTCCCGTTCAAAGGCAGCGCAATGGTCATTCCCATTTTACAGAAGAGATGACTGAAGCTCACAGAGGGAAGGAAGTAGGTCAAGTCCGCAGGGCTAGGAAGTGGCAGTCAGGCCCAGAACTCTGGTCTACCTGGCTCCAAGGACCCAGCCCTTCCTTGGACCCCAGCCCCTCCTGGATGAGGAGCCTATAGATCCTGACTCTCCTTGCAGAGACCAGAAGTGGAGGCATTTTCAATGTGCACATTTTCCTTCCCTAAGATTCTTCCAAAACTGCAGCAGTACAGACAGGAGGCTGGAAGAGGTGTTTCCTGCCCTGGGGTTGGGGGCGCTCATCCCTCCCCTGTTCACCAGGAGTCCCTCTGCGCCCCTCGCCCTCCTCCACAAGGGCTGTCTGATGGTGGCAGGAGGGTAAACTTTTTGTCATTCAAAGACGCCTCCCGCCAGGCAGATCAACTAGGCCCTGGCCTCCCGCCTCCCCTGACCTTACATGTCACCTTGGAGAGTAACCCAAGCTCTCCACTCTCTTTCCTCTCAGAGTCAGGACTGATATTGTTTTTGCAAAGAACAGTTTCAGAGGCTCCCTCGGGCTGCGCAGGAATTAAATCACAAGTGTCCCAGTGCAGGGACAGCCGACAGGATCAGTGTCCCCATCAATCTTCCCACGGAGCATTGCAGGCTCTGGCTGAGAAGGATTTACGGGGTAGGAGGGGTGTAGGACAATGGCTGCCCCTCCCAGGCCCTGCCGGCAGCCTTTTCCCACGGTTGGCTCCGACCAGGCCCTAATGGATGGGTCAGGAAGGTCAGCTCACCGGGAGTTCGCTCCTTCGTGCCAGAGGTTGCCCCCACAGTCAGCTCAGGCTGGGGGCTTACTGCTGGGGTCACTTACTCTTTATTCTCTTCTGTATTTTCCAAAGTCTCTGCAAAGAGCATGTATTACTTTTAAAATCAAAGGAGGAGAGAAAACAATAACATTGTTTTGTTTTGTCTTGTTTTGTTTATAAGCGTGTTTTTCTCCAGTGCTAAGGACCGGGCAGGCATCTCCCACCAGCCTGCAGGGAGTGCGGACACTCGGCAGGGAGCCTGGACTTGCCTGATTTCCCAGGGAACCTACATAAAAAGCCCTTCTCGCTGGAAACAATGCTCTTGCTAAGTGCAGGCACAGACCCCCTCCCCCAGAGAAACCCGAGCCCTGTCCGGATCCCAGCCCAGGAACCGCCCCCAGGCTGGCGGCCGCATTCAGCTGCAGTCCTGCACCCCACCCCATCTCCATCCATCTCCCTCCTCCCCACCGAGTCAGACAAGCTGGGGCCTGGCCCAGGGCTCTGACCCGAGCAGCCGGCCCAGCAACAGCACCATTTTGGTCAGAAAGGTCTGGGTGCTTGGACAAGGCCCTGGTGACCTGGGAGGAGGCAAACGTGGGCCCTTGTCTACTTGCCCTCCCACCTCCACAGACCCTTAGCAAGTTGCTTCACCTCTACGCACCTCCGTTTCCTAATCTCTCACGCACATCATCCCATTCAGTGGAGCAAACAGGAAAACCGCTCAGGCAGGCCCTGGCTTGAAGGAAGCACCCATGCGTTAGTAGTTATTGCCATCCGTGCCACTAATCCACCCCCACCAAACAGGTGTGAACTCCATCTGCTCTGCTGTGCTTGAAGAAGCTGTGCAATGGGCAACTGCTCCCTCGTGGCCACCTTGGAGGCTACCTGCGATCTGGTAGTAGCAAGACAAGAATTATCCTCACTGCATGAAACAAGGAAACTGACCAGCCGAGGCTGCGCGGCTGTTCAGCGTCTCCAAAGAACCTGCCCCCGCCAGGCAGGCTGCTGGGACCGAAGGATCCAAAGAGTGGCTCTAGCCCGGCGGTGAGCAGCCTCATGCTCTAACATGAACAACATGGGTCGTTTCCGCCTGGAGCAGCGTGTTGAGAAGGGTCCCCAGGCTGCCTGTCAGTCCAGCCTGAAGGTGCTCTGGGGTGGATCAGTGATGCCTGCCACAGGCACAGGATGGCCCCGATGTTATGGGTGACAAAGCCATGCCTCTGCCAGTCCTGCCACAGTGCATCACGTACAAGGCTGACTTAAGGTAGAGACACAATTAGAGCCCAGATCCCTTGACCCCAGTGTGGTGGTCACCAGCATGGCACCACCAAGGTGCCAGGAAATTACTTGTCAAGTTTTCCTCTTCTATTTTGATGAAGGCCTCACCATGTTTACACTGATGCTGAGAATTGGAAGCGGGACATGTGTTCCCTGTGTGCATTGCACACCGGCCCTCCCGATGATTCTGATCTATCCCCATATGTGAGTAATCCCTTCTCCCCTAACATCCAGGGGAAGCTGCACCCCTACCCCGTTCCCCTCCTGCCCGTGGCCTTCTTCTGTAGGATGGTCGTCCTAGACAGCCGCCATTCTCTCAGAATCTGGAGAGAGGGAGAGACGCACAGATGCTTCTGAAGCAGCCTCGTTTCCCTTCTACACCCTCACAACGTCCACGTGGGCTTCCCAAACCCAGGGCCATCTCCTAGGGCCCACAGCCAGTCTTTCGGAACAACCAGTGCCCTGAAGGCACCCGCCCTTTCCTACCTCGAAGGCACAGAGCCCGTGGCCTCCCAGATGGGTGGGCAGATTGGTGGCGCCACCAAGGGCCCAGCCTTGTGCGTGCTGGCCATGGATCGGCCACAGGCACGGAACCTGACCAAGACCAGCACTGTAACAAGCACAAGCTCCTTTGCCCAGCACAGTCTCGGAGTGCCCACGCTGCCGCTGTGCGCCTCTCACAGGCTCTTGTCCTGCCTGTGAGGTGGGACTGTGAAGGTGGGCGGGCCTCCAGGCAGCCCCTGTGCAGGGCGGGCATCCTTGAGGCCAAGTGCTGTTACTCTTGTCACTGTGTTCATACACCAGGCACTGGGATCATACCCCAAGAAATGAGGCAGCTGGGGCCGCAGAAGGCTGAGGACATGGCAGCAATCCCAGAACCAGGAACCAGGAGTGGACCCCCGCTTCCTGCACCCAGGAGGCGGCACACCTAGAAGATGCAGGGGGCAGGAGAGGTGGCAGCCAAGGCCCTTCCTTCCCCACTGCCCTTGTTCAGCCTTAACCTGGCAAGAGCCACTCAGAGGCCTGGCAAAGGAAACAGGACCTCAGGGCCACAAGGATGCTGATGGGGGGCACTGCAGTGAGGAGGGAAGACGCAGCTGTCTCAGTTGCAGGCCAGGGCCCTAGCAGACTGTCTGGCCGCCCAGCTGAAGGGTGCTGGGCCCAGGACCAGCCCTCAGTGGCCCGAGCTCCCAGGCAGGTGTTCAGGTAGGTGGGGGGTGGGAATGAGCACACACTCCCCTGGCTTCCCTGGTGCCTCTCCCCACATTGTCCCCCACAAAGACAACATAGCTGGCAAGCCAGGACTCAGGCTGTGGGTGTCCCGGCCAGGCCCCCAGCACCTGGGCTGTGAGATGCAGCCTTCAGTCCCCAGGAGCCTGCTGCTGGGAGTGTGATCACCAGCCTTCTGGCCCTTTCCTGAGCTGGGAGAGGCTGTGCTCCACGGGACACAGGCTGGGAGGCTGCTGTGAGGAAGACAGCAGGCCAGGCCAGGCCTCCCACTGCGGGGACACTCCACACTCCCTTGCAGTCCCCATTCACCCTGCCACTTCAGGGACCCAGGCGTGTGCCCTGCCCCACCCTCGGATCTGTCTTGCCTGCCTATGAACCTAATGTGAACTAGAGCACAGAGTGCAAATGCCAGCTGTTACCTCTAAGAGCTCAGCTCATCACTCCTTGGAGGACAGGGGCTGGTTTCAAGGTAATTTCCCTCCATGTCTGCCTCTTCAGCAGCCCTGGGAGGCCGTTTAAGGCCCGTGTCTCTCTGTCATGCCACAGGGTCCATCCCTCAAGGGGAGCCCCCGCAACCCTGTATGTCACCTGAGCCACCTCTGTGCCCCTCTCACTGCCTGGCTCAGGGGTGGTGCCCAGTAGATGTTGGGTGGATCGCATGAATAAACACAAATTGGTGGAGAGCCAGGAGATTAGTGAAAATACCTCCTTCCTGATACAGAATCCTTTTCACCAAAATGCGGTTTTCCCCTTTTTTTCCTTTCTTCTTCAGAGAAATTTTCACTGCTGTCACTATGACCCATGGTAGGCAAAAGCCAGAGGAAGTCAAGTGACAAAATGGCTTTCATCTTCTCTGGGTGGAAAAGACACATGCGCGTGCCATGGGTTCAAGCCACTTTCTACGGCAAACCCACTTGTGTTATCAACCACGCTGTAACAAACGACCCCGAAATTAGCAGGGAAAACAGTGCAAGTTCATTACCCCACAGTTTCCACAGGTACCTGGACTCGCTCTGCTGAAAGCCCCTCACTAGCTTGGTCGGGAGGATGCAGTCAAGTCATCAGCCGGCTGCAGCCTTATCTGGAGGACCGGCTGGGGACCGGCCTCCAAGTGCTCCCTGTGGCTTTGAGGATAAGCTTGGAGGCCCGATCCCTTGCTGTGCGTACTGCTCTGCAAGGTTGCTTTACAGCGTAGTAGCTGGTGTTCCCCAGGAGGAGTGACCTGAGACTGTGAGAGAAAGCACCCCCCAGAGAAGTCACAACCTTGTCATGGTCGCATCTCGGAAGTGATGCCCCGTCCCTCTGCCAGATTTTGTTCATTAGAAGTGAGTCAATGAATCCAGCCCGCAGTCAAGAGGAGGGGATCACACAGGTGTGAATAGAGCAGGGCACCCTGGGGCCTGCCAAGATGCCGTTTCTGTGCCAGATCTTCCCCAAAACTGACAGCCATGGCCTCTCCCATCCCACAGGCTTTTCTAGAACCCTGCCACTCGGCCATCGAGAGGTAGAGCCAGTGTCCCCACTCCTCGTACCTGAGGGAGCCACTGTGACTTTTCCACTGACTATCCCGTATGAAAGTGATGTGCTGTGCCCTCTAAGGCTTCCTGGTTTTCTGGAGATGCCCACTCTTGGAACCAGCCTCCCTGCCTTAAAGAAGCCCATGAAGAGGTCTGCGCTCACGTAGGCTCCCAGGTGATGCCTGCACCAGCCTGCCAAGTGAGTGTGTATTTTCCAAAGAGACCCTCTGGCCTCAGTCAGGTGGCTTTTGGTGACCCCTGAGGAGCAGTCTGCCTAGCCAAGCCCAAATTGGAGATTCATGAGAAAAACAAATCCTTGTCATTTTAAGCTTGTTCCCCAATAATAATGCTGTCCCCACATGCTGCTCTCCCACTGTGCACCTCAGTCCACCAACCCCCAGGCCAGGACAGGCAGGAAGGAGTATCTGTGAGACATCCCACAGATGCAGACCGCTGGTGCTGCTGTGTTCCCAGCAAAGACAAGGGAACCCACAGGTGCAGGGGTGAGGTGTCATCAAGGGTCTGGGGCCCTGGGAGTGTGGGCGCTGGGCAGGGCAGTCCCAGGCTATAGTCTGAAACCCAGCCCAGGGCCATGGGTGGGGACAGTGCAGGTGGGCTCATAACAGCTGCCCTGAGGGCATGTGCCCAGTTGGAGAGGGCAGGGCCTGGCACAGAATGCACACTTGATTTTGGCTACAGACAACTCTCCCAGGCTCACCTGTAGGAAGAGAGGCACGAGAGCCCCCCATGCCGAGGGAGCTGCTCGGGGCTAACCCCATGAAGAGCAGTCACATTCAAGTGGGGCCTGGGCCACATGGGACTCCAGCTCCATGGCTGGGCTGGAAGGAAGAAGAGGAAAAGGGCTCTTACAGAGGCATGCCCGCTGGCGCCAGCCGGACACCGACACAGAGAATGGAGAGCAGAGGCTTAGAGGAACTGCAGGTCCTGATCCTCTTCCTCCAAGCCTTTGCTGCCCACTTCCCCATGGATGGGCGGAAAAACCAAGGTCAAGTTTCAGGAAGCCCCACTCTCACAAAAGAACCTCTCATGCACTGCCCCTATGCAGCTGTCCATTGTTTTCACGAGAAAAACAAATTCTTGTCATTTTAAACTTGTTATCTGATAACGATGCAGCTCCTTCCAGCAGTGAACGCCAGTCCACCAACCCCCAGGCCAGGACGAGCAGGAAGTAGTGGCCCTGTGGCATCCCACAGATGCTGCTGTG